GGCTTTGTAAGGACAGTTTTCAGAGCATCCTGTGAAAGTCATCGTCCTACGTGATGTGTATGTGAATTGTCTTATGATTAGCCCCATTTAATAGATAAGGCCTACTAGGGAGTCTTGCTTAATTTGTATGTCACACTCATGGGACAGGTAAGGAGCAACACAGTTTCCAACTTCTGCACCAAATAATCGCTAAATTTCTTCTTGTTCCTTCAAATACTCTGATGATTTATAAGGAGGTGACCAAAAATTAGGGTGTATGTTTAAATAAAATATAATTTACTACAGTAAAAGACATATTGGCATTAATCCCACTCAAAGTCCCTTCACTTGGAACACACTTATACCATCATTCTTGCCATTTTCTGAAGCAGCCCCGAAAGTCCTCTTTCATGAGTGTTGTTCCATCCTGTGATCAAAAGTACAATGAATGCCACTGCTGAGGGTCATTCAATGGAAAGATAGGCTCGTAAGAACATGACACTGTGTTCTCATCCACCTTATTCAGTGGATCTAGTACCATGCACCTTCTGGCTCTACCTCAAAGTCAAAATGACCATGACATGGAAGAGTTTTGAATTGATTCCAGATATGGAGGCAGCCCCAACAGCACAACTGAAGACATTCAGGAAAGAGAACTTCCAGAAATGTTACTGGGGGAATGGGTTGTTACCAAGCACTTGTGTGTGACGAGAAAAGAACTGTCAAGTGTATACCCAGTAGTAAGTAGCAAACAGCTGCATTTATTGAAGATCATGTAAAGCTGTGCTCAGGGCAAGTCTGTGCCAACAAAACATAGGGCACAGACAGAGAAAGGTGCCAGGGTGACAGAAAAGTGAAAGCATTATGCACAGGTCTTAGTACCTGGAAATAGCAATTGTAAGAGCCTGTGGGTAAATGAGGCTTTCAGAATTTACAGGCCATGCACCTCAGTCCAGTGCCTCCCCTGAATCTCTAGGTGTGACTGACAGGCATGATTGACAGGGTGTTGAGTAAGCTTAGGGGCTCTCAGCACACATGCTTTTCCCAGAATTCACTCTGATCATAATCAATATAGTGCATATTTATGAGATGTTCTGAGGTGGGAGTAGGGTGAAGGTGATGAAGGTCAAGCTAGGAGATCCAACATGCACGTGCCTTGCCTAGAGTGTCAGAGATCTCCTGGGATTTTATTATTTTATTTTCGACCTCTGTTAGGACAATGGAGGCAGGAATGACCATTGGGTGCTGTTTAGGATTAAATGGAGGGAAGAGAGTGACTCCTTCTGATGGAGCCCACCATGAAGCAGTGCTGAGGACTCTAATTAATCAGTTGGCTTTTTATGTTTACTTGTGAATCTGTCCAAAGCCCAGGCTGCTCGTCTGCAAGTGGGTGACGGACTCATAGTAAGTGGACCTCTGTGAGTCATTAATCCCTACTAAAAGCTGTAATGACTGATGAAGCTGGAAAACCTCAAAGGATAAAACAAGATCACAGCCAAGGACACCTGGATCTGATCTCAACTAGATAAAGACTGTGTGGATTAACTTAATCCTTATTAAGGATTAATTTAATACCTTACTTGGAGAAGTCCTTGAGTGGTTCCACCCTTCTCAAGTACTCCCTTCCCTTCTTCTAATAACCAAATAAATATGGGCCACCCGGAGAAGGTCTTGGTCTTATCTCTGAGAGAATCTCCAATTCTGTGAGAGTGCTTTGATCCTCCTGGAGCCCTGAAATCATTCCATTTGCCTCTTTTTACTTAGCCTTCACCATACACTTGTCAGGGTGATTGTGCATCTGGTCAACCCGCAATAACTAAGGGATATTATTAACCTGATACCTTTGGCTTTGTGATTTCTAACTATACTAGAACTGCCTCAGATACTGGTACAATGATGGGATCACCATGTTTGAAGCAAGGGGGCGTTTTTGAGGGGGATTTCTGGGAATGAGTCTTTTACTGTCATTTTTTTAAAAACCTGAACATTCACCATATTTGTCAATCACACAGCACACAGATGACCCCAGCTGTGACCTGCCTTCGGCTGCTGCCCTACAGGTATCCCTCTTTGCCAGCCGTGGTCATCAGCACCTTCTCACTTCTGTGTGAACTCCTCAAAGCCATCACGGGCTGTCTGGCAGCTTTCATGTGGATGGCGCAGGAGAGAAGCCAAAGCTTTTCTTGCTGTACCTGCAGCTTATACAGGGGCTTGTCTGCAGAGGAGGCATCTACCTTCTTGCACTTCCTGCCAGCTGAGAGGTCACACATGAGCTGTGCGTTCGTAGCACTGGGAGGATGCTGAGAAGCAGCAGTTCATTTCTCCCCATCTGTATCCTTTGTGAGCCATCTGGGTCTCTAATGACGACTGCAATCCAACCAAAATTCTCCCATCTCCAGTATTCTACATATTAATAACAACTTCAGAAGTACACATAACGCACACTTCACATAATACTTCTCTACAGCGGGCGTATTGTTCTCTCCCCTCGCAAAGGATAAAGTACATATTATTATTTTTATCACCCAAGAAGAAACTCGGTCTTTGAGAGTGCAAATCTTACATACAGCAGGAAACAGGTACAACTGGAACTGGGATCTGAATTGTTTGACTAGAGGCCCATACAACAGACAAGAGTAGGAAGTGGGTGAAAAATCTGAAGAAGAAATTGAGCAAGGGGATGGGAAGCCAGTTTTCTGTAGGTCACCCCATCCTGTGCTCTGAATAGGATCCAAGCTGAGGTTCACAGGCAGGGTGTGGAACAAAAGTTATAATTACTGAGTGAGTGGCTGTTGAAAGGAGCCACAGACATTCTGTTTTCCTCCTCTTTTTAGAATCCTGTGTGACAATGGCTTGTGATCCATGTTCTGCGGAGCCCTCGAGTATGTGACAGTTCCTCGGGTTAACACGGAAACAGTGCAGCATCTTCAAGGTGCCACATTCATCTGTTTTAGATATTGGGCATCTGCATGAGCTTTCATTTGAAGTAAAAAAAAAAACCCACTCTGTTACTTAGGAAATTTCTTTGAAGATCATCATCATGTAGAACTGTTTAAACTTTTGATCATTGAGCTCTTTGGGACATCTGGATAGTTTTCAGCCAAAGAATTTGCCATTAAGAGAGGTAAACATTGACCTAGACTGACATAAAGTCTGGAGCTTTGACAATGATCATGCAGAGGACATGGGATTAGAAGTTCTGGGGACCTGGTCACCCAGGGTCAGAGGAGGTGGCCCACCAAGGCTGTGATGACAGAACTGTGAGCCAATCAGGAGTACTTCAGGAGCTGTGTGCAAACAGGAACTGAGGCATGGAGGCAGGGATCAAACTCCAGTTTTGTCCTACACTTACTCCAGAATTCTACTGATAACAAGTGGTCCAGAGTGACCTGTCCTCTTGGGACCCGTGATGCACAACTACCAGCCACGCTACACAGAATCAGAACTTGTCATCCAAGCATTTGACTTCTACCTATCACCTCCACAAAGGGGCAGAAATCCACATTCAATCCTGTCATTTCAGCTGGACTTGATCAGTCTCATAAATTCTACTTGTAAGCCTGACTCATTAAAGGTCAAATTCTGGGACTGGGTAATGAGTTAGGAATAGGAATGGATATAAGTTAAAATTGGATATAAAAGTGACTTGATAGAGTTATAAGCTATTGTCATCATCATCACTACTTTGAACCTGTTACAGAAACACAACCGGCATTTTTTTTTTGTCTTTTTGAGACAGGGTCTCACTTTGCAGTTCAGGCTGGACTTGAGCTCACGCTGTCACCCAGGCTGGTCTGGAACTTGAAACAGTCCTCCAGTCTCAGCTTCCCAAGTGCTGGGATTACAGGTGTGTGCCACCATGCCCAGCAATATAAAAGTCCAACTTTTTTTTTAATACTGGGAATTGAACTCATGACCTCATGCTTGCCAGGTAGGCACTTATGCTGCTGAGCTATATCCCTGGCCCAGCATCTATCTTTTCACTGTAAAGAAAAACAGAGATTTGTTGGGAATCATTTTGGGGCTTCTGCGATCAAGACACTGCGGAAGTATAAACGTAAGTCCGGCAGAGGCGTTAAACCCTCTCCTTTCTCCGACCCTCGTCTCCTAGAAACCAGAGCGAAAGTACAATATTACCTCTGAGAGGAGGAAAAGACCTTGGGAAGTGTAATCCCGGATATCCTCGGTCCAGGGTTGGATATTTAGGTGGAGCACTGGGCTGCCCCTGAGGTTTGCATGTGAAGTCCCGAGTACTGCAACCCCTCGGCCTAGGTCATCCCCCGCTGGTAATTACACCTCCCCACAGCAGTGCCGCCCCAAGAACTTGAGCTCGCTGTCAGATTAGGCAATTGTGGCAAGCTGGTAACCTGATAGCAGCGCATTATGTAGTTGTGTGGGAACTCTGGTCTCTGGAACAGATTGAGGTTCCCAAGCTCCGGGCTTGTGCTGTTTGGGCGTGTCTTTCATGAAACACTCTTTATGTAAAAAACAGGCTAAAAAAAATAAATAACCAGGGCCGTTTGGGGGATATTTTTCAATAGTGACATGAAACTGACCTATTTTCTGAAAGGGTTCTTGCCAAAAAGGAGAAAAGTTGGGTAATAACAAAAAATAACTCCCTTTTCTGCCTGATGTTTGTCCTCAAGCTTGTTTGAATATTTTCCTTTTGGGTAACGTTTTTAAAAATGTGTAAATTAAAAAAATATATATGTAAATTAAAAAGCAATAAGATGATTCTCTATCAACAATGTAGAGGAACTTTAAACTCTGGCTCCTTAAAGAAATCATCGAACCTCATAGGAAATCACAATGTAATGTTTCAGATTTAATCAATGAAAATGGACAGGGGAAAGTAATAGACATTTACATTCCAATTTTTATGCTTTTTATGCACAGTCATTCGCCTTTTGTAAATGTAGCTTTGAGAAAACACGAGGAAGAGGATACCAGGTAGAGGTGAGTCATCAGTACAGCATCTGAGGGACGGGTAGTGTCATTCCCGTCCTTCCCAGCTGCCCGCCTGCTTTGTCAGAGTGAGGACTTTGATGTTTCATGGGCATTTGGGTATGGGCAGATATCCCTACAGGCCACTCCTACAGCCACGTTAGGGGACCATGGAGAACACAGACTGACCCACGAGTGAGTGGAGAACAGAAGGATGGGGAGGTGAAGGGAGAGGAGCTCACCGGAAGAGCAAGGTTGGAAAGAGAAGAACTCGGAAAAGTGTGTGATTCTACTGTGTCTCTCCTGGACACAGGAAGGAGAATTTTAGCTATGATTTGGGACTGGGACATCCCATCTAAGAAGAGAGAATTTCAGACAACGTACCTAAGGTATGTGTGAACCAGGGGGTTTGGTCACACGGATGTGCCACTGCCAGACCCCTTGCATAATGGACTAGAATCTTCATGCTACTTCCTCTTGCAACTCCTGTGTCCAGTGTAACTGGCTATGTAGGGCATGTGGGCCAGCGACAACCTGAGGGCTGGCTGGTTTCCCATCCAGCTCTCTGGACAGTAAGTGGTAGCATGTGATAGACAGCATGTGACCCTGGGCCTCTCTTTCTCAGAAGAGCTAGAGGGAAAACCTAGAGCTACCACACTGCAAGAGTTCCTGGAGGTGAGATTTTAGTCTGGGAAGCTGCCACTTCCCAGTTTTTGCAAATAGCTTTCCCCTATGAAAAAGATCCAAAGGAAGAAGAGTGATTGCTTATGTGTATGCAGTTTTACTAAAGGAAATTTACAAAAACACTTCATACTATAAGATATTAAGTCTGTTCTTGATGCATTGTGTTAAGATTTAATGATTTTTTTTTTTTTGCAATTTTTCATTTAGATTCAGTATCTCAATATTTGTTATCACCCCCAGGGGTGTGCTGCCTTGAAACACTTTCTCTTGTGATACTCACACTGCAGCTGGAAGGGGAAGCCCCAGGAAGCAGCAGGAGCTCCCAGCAGCAGGACCAGCATGGTCACCGATCAAAGCTGGCTCACCCATTGGCAGGCTGGTGAGCTGCTAAACAAATGCCGTGGGGGAAGCTCACATTGTTACTCGCTTTATACACATTATTTAGTAGACTCAGAGCCTGCACTTACAGTGAGTGTTAATATCTCTGGGTAGGAACCTAAATAGTAGCTCAAATGGTGAAGTAGCCTACTGAAGTCAGGCTGCGAAACCAAGAAATCTCATGTCTGGGTGGCCCTGAGCTGATGTCTCATCGTTTTCCCATCAGACCCTTTGAGGAAAGGTGCTCAGGCATTGAGAGGATGCTTTCTGCAGCAGATTTATCTTTCCCAGATTTTCCTACCTGAAAACCTCACCACAAAGAACCGAGGGCTCCACCCTGTCAACTGCAATTATTGGGACTTTCCATCCAGCTGGGTCTTGTACAAAAGAAATCCTGGCCCAGGATGTGATGACCAAGCGAGGCAGCAGCTGTGGGGTGGGACTTGCTCATAGCCTCGTGTGAGGTAGTTGGTGAGCAAACAAGCTCAGGCAGAGAGGGTGCATCTTGCAAAAAGCCTTGGGGATATTTACCAAAGGAAAAAGTTGTCAACAAGGGCAGAGTTGCCTTGGCAGTGGTAGTCCTGGATGCATGGATGTAAGGAATTCAGCCACGGGGGCACCTCACTTTCCAGGTCCTCAGGAGGAAGGAGCTTCTCTAGACAGCCAGGAAACCCACTGAGCCGCAGAGGTTGAAAGGAAGTGCTGGTGACTTGATTGTGGCTAGCTTACAAGGTTTGGGAGCTCAAAGCAGGTTTTTAACCTCTCTCCAAAATGGGGACGTCCTGTGCAGCATCTCTGTTTTACAACTGAGCAGATCTATAAGCAAAAAGATGAAGTGGGTTGTGCCGGGTAATGCACTGCAGGCTGAAGTCAGGCACAGTTTGGGACCTGGACATCTTGGCTTCCAGGTGGAGGTTTTGCCCTTGCGTGCGTAAGCTTTGCAACACCTGAGGAATCTCCAGTCACCTCGTCTGTGTCACTCCCTTGTCACATGTGTACTGAATTCTGAGGGAGTGCACTAGACTTTGTTAAGCACTAGAAAGGTCCAAGGAGAATACGGTGCCATCTGAGCTGTTGAGAGTGGTATTTGGTATAGAAGTTCCCCATTGCGGAACTGGGAAATACTACATCTAAACTCTCCATTGTAAGATTGGGAAAACAGGACTTTTTTCCTTTTTTTTTTGTTTTTTTGTTTTTTGTTTTTTTGTTTTTTTGTTTTTTCTCCGGCACCGGGAACGGAACTCACGACCTTGCACTTGCCAGGCAGGCGCTTTTGCCGCTGAGCTAAATCCCCAGCCCCGAAAACAGGACTTTTTGTACACGCACATTAAGTGCAGAATGAACACACAAGATGAAGCCAACTTTTGCCCAGAAAAGTCCAAGAATATGTGATAGGGAAGGGGAAGAATGAGTAGATGTGTTTGAATGAGTAGAAAGGCAATAAGTAGACTGCAGGTAACGTAAAGTCAGTACATTGTCTTAAAAACAAGAAAGAGCAGAGGTGTTTGGGAACTAGCAAATAATCACTTTGGATTGCTGGGTCAAGGGGAAGAGTTACTGAGTGTCAAATCATGGAAGATTTTTGTGGACTGATACAAGGGAATCAGAGTTAATGGGGGCACTGGAATTCTAGGACCGGATTTTCGACACATTTTGGCTTTAGGAAATAGTTATGATTCTCATTAAGCATGGGAAATTAAAGACAAGAATTTCCTATGGTTTTTTTTTTTGCAGGGAGTGGTTTCCAGTACTGGGAATTGAACTCACAACCTCATGCTTGCCAGGCAGGAGCTGTACCACTGAGCTAAATCCCCAGCCAAAGACTAGACTTTCTATCTACTCTCTAGAGAAACCTACTGCAAACGACAGGGAAGGAATTTGAAAAGGTGTAAACTCCCAAGCCCAGAGACAGCTGCCGAGAGGATGTTGAGGTGGAAAGCCAACTGTGGCAGTGGCTGACTGGGCAGGTGGCGAATAGCACTAACACCTAGAAGCCCCCAAAAAATGAGGAAGAAGAAGGCAAAAGGAAATGAGAAGTGTTGCTCTAAAGAATCTGGAAAGACTAGGAATGGATGGTTCTAGGTGCTTATCAAGATGAGGGAGAAGGTGGAGCCCAAATACAAGGTCTGTCTGGGAAATCTGGACCAGGAAGTTACACAGTGTCCCCTCGGCACCTCTCCCCCTGTCCTGGAAGAAGGCAGGAAGTTCACACTCTGGGGACACTGACCTGACAGAGGGAGTGGAGTGAGGGGCTGGATGGAAGCAGAAAGATTAAGGGAAAGTCCTTACATAGAAGAACAAAGCTGCCAAAGCTCACCTCAGCTCCAGGCATGGAGACCCAGGCTCATTCTCCTCATGGAGGGAGGCAAGGTTTTTTTTGGACTAAGTGACCAGACCTCAAGAACACCTACATGGACCTGACATTAAGTCCCCCAAGGACATGCTTGGACCCCAGCTCATCTTTCTGCAGGGAGCTCACCAGTTAGCTTCACCCACATACACAGGGCCTCCAGTCAGCTTTCTAACACCTCAACACTAACACAAGCAGCCAAAGATCTCCAGATGTAAAAAGAAATTTGCTAATGTGAAAGACAGAGTTCAAAAACAAAAGCAATTACAAATCCACAGAGGGAAAACACGGAAGGAATGTGAGAGAGGAGAACATCAAAACCCTTCTGTTCATCATGAGTCACAGTATCCCTGAAACAACAGGGTGCTGTGATAAGGGAATATGTGTGAGTAAGATGAGTCTCTTGAAAATTAAAAATGTGAAAGTACAATATTTTTAGAAATCAATAAGATTAGACAGAAATGTGAAGAATATCATCTAGTAAATGGTACCAAAAAAGCAATGATTTAAAATAAGAAAGTAAAATACACAATGTCACTGTGAAACATCAGAATACTAAGGATAAAGAGAAAATCCTTCTTGAAAGTTCCAAAGAGAACAACAGTTTTTACATAGTGAGTCACAAAGGCAGTGGAGAAATGACTTCAGGATCCCAGGAAAGTGATTCCTAGACCTTGGCTCCTGGCCACACTTCCAGTCAGCATGGAATTAGAATCAGGTTGTGTGAAATGCCCCAGTGTGGGAAACATGGTTATGCTCGGCCCTAAGAGTTCCTCACTGTCCTTCCCCTTCACTTGTGCTCAGATCAGATGGCTGTGAAAGGAAGTGATGTGGCCACTTCCCAGACAATGTCCTCCTGAGAGGGACGTGAGCCCCGTGCTTTCTGCAGAGGCCTCATTTGGAGATGCTGGAACCACAGGACTCAGGCAGTTTGGGCTGAGGGAGAGCTCAGTGGTTGAGTGAGTTTTCAGCATGCCTGAGGCTGTGGGTTCACTTCCCACCACTGCAAAATAATGAACAAATGTCGGAGGAGGTTGGATCACTGGTCTGATGCTTGGGCAACAGCTGTCTTGGACAGTCCTGAATTTTTGGCCAATTTATGAGCCAGACAGAGACTTGGAATAAGATGTGATCAAAAATACAGTGAATGCCAGGCATGGTGGTGCATACATGTAATCCCAGTACTCGGGTGGCTGAGGCAGGAAGATCGCCATGACTTCCAGGCTACTCTGGACTGCACAATAAGACCCTGTCTGAAAAACAAAACAAAATAAAACAACAAAAAAATAGTGACTGTTGAAATTTTTTAAAAATGTATTATAATAAGAGATGCATTGCCATTAGTTCCCTTGAGATACTCCCTTTTCCCTTGAACATACTTAATCCCATCATTCTTGCCATTTTCTGAAGCAGCTCTGGAGTCCTCCTTCCTGGGTGTCTTTAGTTGCACTGTCATGGCTGCCTTCATGTCCTGAACCAATTCAGAATTACCTTTCATGGTCGTTTTGACTTTGGGGAAGAGGCAGAGTCACACAGTTCCAGGCCCAGGGAATCAGGACACATGGTGATGTTTTTATGAGTCTGCCTTTCATTGGATGGTACTCAACAGCAGCATTCACATTTTTGATCACACCTCATAAAGATACTCACAGAAGAAGACTTCTAGAAGTGTCTCAGCCAGTGGCAAGAAACATGAGATCAGTGTGTTCAAAGTGACAGGAGAGACCTTCAGGGAGATTAATGGTGATATGTCATCTACTGTAATAAAGTTTTGTTATGTAAACACATGACACACACCACATTTTGATCAGCTCTTATATTAAACCATTGAGAACTGGGGTGTATTTGTTACTATAGCACAGTTCAGCCTAGCCTAGTACACAACCTAACAAAAGTATTTCTAACTATATTACACCATTTCTCAAGAAATGTATGATGGGGATCCTGTGACCTAGCAATTCTACTTCTAGACTCTTTGTGGCAGCTCTGTCTCCAACATCCGAATACTTTCCATTCATGCCACACATCACAGCAAAAAATAAGCAAAGGAATAAACTACTCAGCAACGACACGGCTGACTCTCCCAAGTTTGAGAGCAAGTGGGACGCAGGAGTGCACCTGCATGACTCTATCACTTGAAGCTCAAGAGGCGGCAGAGCGGGTTGGTGGTGACAGAAGTCAGAACCGGGATCAGAACAGACAGGGAGGGAGGCATAGATTGGCAGAGGCACAAAGGAGCCCTACAGATGGCTGGAATTATCTGACACTTTCTTCCGGACGGTGGTTATGTGAATGTATACGTGTCCAAAAATTTACGAGCTGGACGCTTACATTTAGTGATTTTTAAGTCTGCTGCCCCTCAATTAAAAAAAAATAAGTTTGGAGAGAAGCTACTGGAGACTAGGTTTTAGCAAAATGTAGGTATGAACCCAAAGCAGAAAGTGTGAGGTCTAGGCAATCAGAAATCCCCGCTGCCCGAGAACAGGGATGCGAGAAGTTCCTAACTAGACACAGGGCCTCTAAGTCATTTAGCTGCACAGCTGGTCATTAAACTGCCCAGACTGGGCTCATGCAGGCCTGCACCACCATGCCTGGGCCTTACTCCTTCCTTATACTTGTTATAAAAAATTCAAATGTAGCCAGGCATGGTGTGATTAGGCCTGTAATTATGCCTGTGATGCCAGCTATTCAGGAGGCTGAGGTAGGAGGGTTTAAAGTTAGAGCCCAGGCTAGGCAGTTTAGTAACACCTTACTTTAAAATAAAACAAGAAAGGTTGAGGGTGTAGCTTACTGGTAAAATGCCCCTGGGTATGATCCTTAGTACATACATACACACATACACACATACATACACACATACATACATAGGCAGAGGATATAGCTCACTCAGCACCTCTTGAGTTCAGTCCTGAGTACCAAAATAAAAGGTTGTTTGGTCAACATTGAAGACAGAAAGAAAATCAAGAGCAGGGTCTTGGAAGGCTCAGTGGAGGTTTTTTCCTGGTAGCTCTGTGTAGGGAACAGCGTGTGTCTGGTGCTAGAACAAAGATTAGGATGTCAAGCTCTGGTGAAATAAAGGCTTTAGGTTTCTGGCCAACGGAAGGGCCCTCTAGTGGTCTCAGAGTAACAGGCAAACCCTAAAAAGCATCCTTAAATCACCTCATTCCTGGGGGAAAACCGTGGTACACCAAGCAGTAATTTGAGTACTATGTTACCACGGGAAGAATGTGTTCAAAGGTCAGATGTAGGATTGGATTCTCCTAGGAGTCCTAAACTGAGCTATTTATTTTTTTATTGCAGTGCTGGGGATGGAGTCTTCTATATGCTAGGCTACCCCTGAGCTATACTCCAGCCCTTATCTATATTTGCAAAAAGGAATAATAATATCTACTCTATCCAGCAAGCTCGAGGATAAAAACATAGTACATGTAAAAATGACCAGCCTTACGATGAGAATATGCATAAAGTCTGAAGATTTTGGAAGTTACCTAAATTCATAATTTAAATTTCATCTCTAGTGTTGATACCAACTCGTATGCAGCAGGAAGTCTGATACATGTCGCACTTGGAGGTAAGTGGGAGCACACGGGTGAGGGGGGTGTTAGCCGCCCTTGGTTCCTCTGTCCTCCTGCAGCAGGGCTGCCTGTGTAGACATGGACACTGGCTTTCAAGCTCCAATTTGGTTTCCTCAGGAACTGAACCTAGTCTTAGATCCCATCTACAGTGCTGGCCTTGCTTCTACCCACTGAGTGATGGGAAATGCCTTGCAGGATAAGAAAAGTCCAGAAGTCTCACCCGGTTCCAACAAATGCGAAAATAAAATCCCGATTGCACATGTTCAAGAGAAATGATGGGCCACTTTAACATACTTGCAATTGTCATTTTCACTGTTTGCATTTTGGGGTCAATTTGTTTGTTGTGAATGTCATAGCTAAATATTTAGTGAGAATCCTTTCTTATTTTATTATTATTTTTTACAGTACTGGGGATCAAACCCAGAGCCTTCTCACTGAGCTCCATCCCCAGCTCTTTTTTATCTTTTATTCTGAGACAAGGTCTTGTTAAATTGTCTAGGCTGGGTTCAGAATTGTGGTCTTCCTGCTCTAATCTTCTAAGTGCTGGGATTATAAGCGTGCACGACCATACCCTACTTGATGAGCACACTTGTTTAGGCTAAATTGTGGCCCCAGGAGAACCGTAGTCCTTTCAGTTCTATAATTAATAAGATTATTTACAGGAATAGTATCACTTTAATCCATAGGTATTGAGATTGCTAAACAATCTTAAATGTTGTAGTGATTAACAATGTTGTTCTGTGTGTATGAACTGGATTCATCACTCATCAATGCTTTACAAAATATCGATACTTTAGACTGAATGGACTAACACACAATGGGATTTTAGAATTTTAGAAGTAGAAGCAAGCTGGGTGTCATGGCACACACCTATAATCCCAGCATTTAGGAGGGGTGAGACAGGAGGACCACTGTGAATTCAAGGCCAACCTGGGCTATAAAGTGAGTTCAGAGCCAGTCAGAACTATGTACTGAGACCCTGTCTCAGAAAATTTTTTTTAAAAAAGGAAAACAAATAGCAAGTGAATAATTTCATATTTCCCAATATCTTACTGTATTCTCTTGAATAGGCAAATTTCTTTTTTTTTTTTTTTTCTCATACCAGGAATCAAACTCACGAATTTGCACTTGCCAGGCAGGTGCTTGTGCTGCTGAGCTATATCCCTGGCCCCTTAAATGGGCAAATATTTAACAACTCTTTTGCAAAATATCTTCTGGATTGATGAATGTTGTGAAGCAGTTTTAAAATGTTTTGCCTACCTATTACAAATATGAAGAATTTATAACCAGAAGCTCATTGATGCTTGAATTTGTATTAATGTGGTAGAACTAAGCACAAACCAAATTCAAGATCTATTTTCTAGTGCTTTAGTAGTAACATAGACAGTTTGACCTCAAACACTCAATTCTTCTTCAAAATTCTCTTTAAAAAATATGACAAATTCCATAAAGTGCCAGTGGACCAAAGTCCATAAGGACAGAATCATCTGATCTCATAATAAAGATGACAATAGATTTCATAGGCACTTATCAGAAACTTGGCTTGTGCTAAACATTTTGCAAATCTGACTTATTTACTCTATAAAAACAGAACTCAAGCAGGTTTTCAATACGATGGCCTAGACCTGACATCAGTCTCAGACGTGCCATGCCAGTACGTAGAAGCTCTCGCAGGTTGCCTCAAAATTTGGGCAAGATAAAAGGAAAGGAACAGTTAACGCTTAAAATTTTCTTTCTTCTGGGCCAATTTTGCATGCTCTCTCTGGTAATCAGAATGACTGATTTGAAGACAACAATACACAGTATAAGAACCATTGTTGCATTCCTACCATCTTATACGGTGAAGCTCTGAATCATTTCCAATTTTTTTTATTACTTGTTATTGTCTTTGATTGTTTGATCAGTCTTACATTCTTACATCTGGTGGACTGAGTAACTTCACTGAAGATAACAGTATGTAATGTAGCAACCATTGGTAATTCCTATCATTTTGTTTGGAGGTTGTGTATTGTTTTTGTTGTTTCTGCATTGGTTTTGTCTTCATTGTTGTTGTTTTGTTAGTTTTTTTTTCCTCCTCAACATTAAAAAAAAGGACAGACACCAAGAGGAGCTCGCTTTCATGGGTTTCCTCAGCATAGCTCACCCTGTGGAGGAGGCGGTTCTTCCTCCCCCAGACCCAGGTGTGACTCTTGCCAGCAGTGCAGGCTCTGTAGGGGTGACTTCCCTAAATCGGCTTTCAGCTTAATTAGTGAGTCTGGCCGAGGTGGCTCCCCATCGCCATGACAACAGCTAGCTTTGTGATCAACCGCCGTGGTTGACCTCAGATAGCCCAGCTGCGGTAAGATACGAGATACCATCTCCGCTGAGGCCTGCACAACTCCAGAGGAAAATTCCTTCCCAGAACTGGCTACAAAGCAGGTGACTGGTTAACTGTAACCTAAATGTGGCCACTCTTGTCCTTTCTGCATGAATGCTTCGTCCCCTCTTTTAAGAGCCTGGCCAGGCTTGGCGTTTGTCTAGCACATCCGCTGCAGTCCTCCCACCATGTTCCTCAGTGAGTAAACACCAAGGTTCTGGTGCCTTGTGGCTTTGTCCCCCAAGAACAAATGGTCACCCTGGACCCCCGCTGCACCCCACTCTTGTCTCTAGCTCTTTATCCCCTCCGTGGGCCGTAACTCTGCCAGGAGACATTTTTTCTGATAGAGATGACAGTTAGTGGTGGTTTGTGCTGTGGTACACGAAAGTATGTGGATGTGCTATGAATGATATCAGTCTTGCTAATACAGTTTAAACCTCCCTGGATTCAATTCTGGGAGCAGGAAATGCCTTCTAATGAACAATAGAAGGGAGCTTGGGCAGGAGGTTAAAAAATCTTAAATTGCGTTTGTCACTCTCTGTCTCAGACCTTGAGTGGAAAACTATTCCATATTAGAATGGTGAACCATCTCTTCAGTTCACAACTTTTTCTTTGTTACTTTTCTCTTTATGGAAAGAACACTTCTAGGGTATAAATTAAGAGAGAGAGAGAGAGCTTCTAGATATAATTATTTAATTTTACAAGGTCCATCTACCTCAAGTACACTGGTACTGAATCAAATTCAATGGCTGGGTTGGGGAAATGTGATTCTGCTCTTGTCCAATTTGGTTTTTGACCGAATGGTGGGCACAATTAAGCTCAAGGACCAAGGTACCACTGTTTTTAGGAATTTCTTGTTAGCTGAGACTTAGAAAATTGCTGGAATAGCTGTTTTTGTTTGTTTGTTGGTTGGTTTGTTTTGTCTTTTTCAGACAGGATCTAGCTCTGCAGTTCAGGCTGTCCTTGAGCTCACTTTGTAGCCCAAGCTGGCCTTGAACTCACAATGATCCTCCTGCTTCAGCCTCCCCAGTGCTGGGATTACAGGTGTGCACCACCATGCTTGGCTAGCTGCTTTAACTGTAAGAGTTTATCCCCCGACAGCTTCAAATTGACCCAGTGTACTTTCTTCAGGTTCCGATTCTCATTGTTGGAAGATAAACGTTTAGCCATTCGTCAGTCTTTGCAAGAGACATGTACCATTCACATTGTCATGATGTTCACATCACCGAACAAGAAAAGGTAAACCCAATCACAGGGGTCACCAGTGTGTGCTTGTGTAGGTGCATGGGCGTCTTGACTGCAGACTTTCGAGTCTGTGGGTTCTTCTGTTCTCAACTCCACCTGACAGCCATATATGTAGACCTCAATATGCCAACATTAGGAGACAGGGAGATTGCTTCCATTCTGTCTTGTAACAGTAATACCACCTCTGCCACTCAGCGTGTGTTACTTTGAATGTGCTTGTACAGCTAAGACTTATTTAAGCAGAAGACAGTGAGCAAAGGCGGACAACATTACATAGTTAGTCCAGTCTGAGGAATTATGTGAGCTGCATAGAGGCGAAATGTTTACTCAGTATTCCTGTTCTAACAGTTTCAGTACATTAGTGAAAAAGAAAAAGACTCCTATGTGTTATTTGGGATGTCTGGGGAATCGACAGGCTGATCATTTCTTTGCCACACTACTGTCTGTGCAATAGGACACTTCAGGTTTGGGACTAAAAAAAGGGTTCACTTCTCACACACTTGAGATCACGAATTTTTGCAAGTCAAAAGTGTTGGGCATGCCAAAAACATCATGCTGTACACTACCAAATAAAAGAACACTGTGATTCTTACAAGGAAAGGTTTGACAAGACAGGAAATAGGCAGGGTCAGAGAAGTTTACTTAATACCGGAGACTTACTTAACAGTCTGGAAGCCAAAATACAATGACAGAGTTAAAAATAAATAAATAAATAGCTTTTACACAAAACAAAACCCCAGATACATGGTTTCTACTGGAACAGACTATTACATTTTTAGCAAATACAGGAAGCGGGTAACTCCAGAGAACCCTCACGAACTTTCTAGAGGTCTTCATTTTTGTTTGTTGTATGGCTTTCACTGAGATAATGGGGATTAAATTGGTTTTAATTCGTGGGGAGAAAGCTGAAGCCACAAGAATTGATCTTAAAACATTGCAGAAGACTTCATAAAAACACAATGTCTGAATAAGTCACATTCTCCTGAAAAGAGGGAGGGAGGAGGAAGAAAAGTGAAGCGGGAAGAGAGGAAAAATCTAGCTGTTCCTTACAATTTTCCATTTTTGTTTAAACACAGCAGGAGGGCGAAGCTGCTGGCTTCTTTTCCCCTTACAAATGCCAGGAGGGCTTATGCAAACCTGCAGCCGCCCAGATTTCACTTAAAGTTATAATGGTCGTCCTTATCTAATGACTTCTGCCTGCGCTCACGGGAACATTGCTTCATCTCTTCTGCCCCTGGGGACCCACTGGGAGTTGTCAATGATCTATTTGCAGATGAACTTCTTTTTCTTTTTTACACAGCAAACATCAAGTGACATCTAGTGGATGCCCAGATATTACTTCCTGAGGCCTCTGGCTAGCAATGTTTCCAGCACCAGAGTGACTTAATATTATTCGTAATATTTATCTATCACTAGAGGCAAACACAAAAACACACCTGATAAAAGACTATCTGATAAAAATAGAAAGTTGGAAAAAGAGGCGACATTGGTCCATTGGGGTCATTATTGGCTATGTGCATGGGTTGTGGGCAGGTGGCTCTTCAGGTCACAAGTTCCTCTGTTTGTCTGTAAACTTCAGGACCGTTATGAATTGGAGAAGTCTGTGTATAGTCCCCTCTTGTCCCCAGTCCTCCCACGCTAATCCTCTCACCCTGGGAAATGCAACAGAACAATGACGCCACTGTGTGGGTCCACTTCCCATTAGCTTTGGCATTTGTGTCTGGTGCCATCTCAGGCTGTTGGAGAACACAGCTGCCCAGCAATCGTTGCAAACTTCACGGGGATTGGGATAGCTCCCCTCCCGTGGTGGCTCCTGCTTTTCTGCGTGGAAGCTTTGTTTGCATCAGTGTCTGCACACTGCCCCTGTGAAGGAGACAGGAAGGGAAATTCTGGGCTGAGAAACTGAAAATGGTGTTTAAATTTAGCATTTTCTTCCCTTTCAAGGAAAGGAAACTTGGACTATGTTACTGAAACCCAAATGCCAGCTGTCTGGCTGTCCCCAACTCTCCCACTCTTCTAGCATCACTCTTCATTTTAACAGACACACACACACACACACACACACACACATGCATAGGCGCACACACACGGTTCTCATCCAACTTCTTGGGAAAAAATCCTAGCATGCCTTTCTCCCCTCTTCTGCGCCCAATCATTTCAAAGATGCTCAGGAGGTCGGAGCAGGCTTTCCTGGTTCTGGGTCAAGTGTGATTCTGCTGTCTTTGTCACCCACTTTGGGCTAAAGGCAGACTTTTTCCTTTGAAATGCTCCCCCTGCCCCAAGTACCCCCATATCAGTAATATGTGAGTCCTGTAGCCAACTCAGCTGAAGTGTCAGTGGCAGCGTGATCCATGGCTCAGCACAGCTTACGGTATCATCCGTGGAGAGACACAGCCTCTGGGATTTGTTTCCGAGTAAGGAATTTGCAGGGGCTGCCGGTGGGAGAACGAGGGTCCTGAGAAACAAAACCGCTGTGTGCTGTCACTGCTGAGGCTGAGGTATGCATACATGGGGCTCATCTGTCTCTTGTTCTCTTCTATATGCTTGGAATTCTCATAATATGAATTTAAAAGAA